ATTAAAGACATACTGATTTTTTACGTGTGTTGCAAAAAAGAAAAAAAGAAAAAGAAAAAAGAAAAAAAAAAAAAAGAAAAAAAAAAGAAAAGAAAAAAATGGGGGAAAAAAGGAAAAGAAAAAAGAAAGAAAGAAAAGGAAGACATCATTTTCTGCTCGGGTGAATAAACTAAAAGCTCGCGCGCGTTGAATCATGTACCGATTATTATCTGGTAAAACAACTTTTTTATTTAATAGGAGTTATAAAATCATAAAAGGAAGCATTTGAATTCTTGGCTTTTATGCACTGATGTAGAGGTCTTTTCATACAGTTTAATATGTCAAGTTCAGATACGTCGGTAAGATAGGAATTTATATCTGTTTTAGATGATCTAGATCTTGAATCTAAGCGCCACGCTGTCTGGTGTGTTTGGCTTAAAATATACCGGGGAAAAAAACCTGGGAAAAAAAAAATTAGCACAAAAATTAAAACTTAGTGAAATAGGATTCGAATTTATTATAGAGTTTTTAGGTATATTATAAAAGTAATCAGTGATTTCGGGTTTATCTTCTATTTAATTCAGTCATTTTCAGTGTGTGTGTGTTTTTTTCAGTTAACCTCCTTTGTATTAGACCATAATGACCAGATCATGAGAAGCCTCGTCCGCTCGACYGAAAAGAAAAAATAATATTAGCAAATCTATCGTCTTCTTTTCTAATTTTATACACATAAAAAAAAGAAACTCAAGAATCAAAGTCCCAACTTCTAGGCCTTTTGAGTGATGGCGTATTTTAATCTTCCTATACTACGACTACCAGAAGTCTTTTGCGCATTTTTTCTCCCAATGCCCTATTGAGAATGTTCGTAGTTATACCGTAATCGTACCGTATCGTACCATAGTGTAGCTACGTGTTGTGATTGGTTGAAAATACTGAATTACGTAATGGAAAAAAATGGGAAGCCATTTCAGTGACACGGTGTAATTGTAAGCTAGTACCGTACGTTTCCCTCTTATACGATAAACATTCTGATGGGAAACCATTTAAGTGTTACGACACTTCGTACCGTGTAAGTGCTGCAAATTAGTAACACGTACGTTTCCGACTTTTATTCTTATGAGAAACCATTTCCGTGTTACGGCATGCCGTACCGTGACACTGTTATCACTCTTACGAAACCCGCTCTATATCTATAAGAAAGTGGGCAAGAGATTCTTGTAATAGTAGTATTTAACACAAATGGTTTTTTGCTGCACGAATTTTCGTGAAAAGTCACCTAATGCTGACCAAATCCACCAATTGAAAACCACACGTGCCATTCCCTTGAGAATATTAAGATTCTTTGTTTGAGTTGTATCCATATTCATATGCATGTGTCTTCACATACACAACTGTTAAACAAAGAAATGCTACTCAATGGAATGACATGTGGTCTGAATTGGGAAAACATTACGCCCGAGTGCATGGATTTGGTCTATAGAATGTAGGCGTTCGTTTCATACACCTACGCGTACAGGAAGCCGTAAAAATTGTTGAAATAAAATGCTGGGAGAAAAAGTAATAAAAAATCTTTTAAAATTTCAAAATTAAAGTTAGGTTTAATAAAATCGAATTATTGTAATGGGAGGGGTTTATCATATCCGCACGAGTTGCCATGAAGAAAATGATATCACATAGAAAACGATTCAATACTTATTCAGTGTAATATGACCTCAAATAATAGATTAGATAGACAATTAGAGAACTTTTATATTAATTCGTAATTGTTATGTTTTTGATGTACATTTGGCTATTTTTACTATCTTATGAAGATAAAAAGAAATAAAAGCTTAAGACACGTGGTTTATCTGACTACGGCTTGAGAAAAAAAAGTCATTTATTTCTTGATAAGATTTTCCCCAAGGGCTTTCAAGACCCATACAAAATTTTCTTGAGAAAGAAAAGTTGTCGTGCAAAAAGGGAAGAAACTGCAGCAAAACAGAAACTCACCAAAGGAGTTGTTGGCTGAAACAATAGATTTTTTTACCCACCTAGCCTCGCATTCAAACACTTTGGAATGATCGAGTTTGAACAAGTGGAAACAAAGGATTTGATTCCTATGGGGGAAAAGATGGCTATGTCCATTCGGCAATTTCGCGTTCCCCATAGTCCTTTGCGTTTTGGGGGTAACAGGTCAAACTGAAGCGGTCATAAAATTTTTGAAGAAGTGCTCGAAATTTGCTTTGAAGACCTCGTGCAGAGCTCTTTCTTTTTGTATCTGGTTGTTTTATAAATATTCGAATATCCACAGTGCATTACAGCATCTTTTGATCGGTCTCCAGCAAAATATGCGTGGCTCTTCTGATTAACATCCCACCCC